CAGGTGCTTGTTGATGAAATCTGCTCACCTGAAGACCTTCACAAGGGTGGGGGTTGGGGCTGGGAAGAGGCATCACTCAAGACCCTGGCAGGTAGTTATCTCAGAGAAGGACCTCAGGAAGGGTGAGTGGGGGAGCACTCTTGGGGTGCTGGGGGAGGCGCAGGAGAAGAAAACCAATAGGAGTGATATAAGTCAATCCAGAGACAAGCCTCTGCTCCTCTTTCACATGCCCAGGCCCAGAGGAACTCAACATTCCAGGCCCAGGGGCAGCCTATGCCAGACAGGGGATGCAGGCAGAGAGGAGGGCAGCTGTTCCGGGGCTTGGACACCCCCCCCCCCCTGTCAGGTAAGCCCGGGGCGTCGGTGGGGACTGTGCGTGGGGATGGCGGGAGGGAGACACGCTCCCTCACTCAACCAAAGGCTTGTCAACAGAGCAGGTGGGGGATTTAAAAAAGGAACAGAACAGGCTCTTCCACACTGCGCAGGGAGAGAGGGGATCTCTGGCCAGGGTGGCAGCCTGGAAGGACGGCAGCAGAGCTCCTGTCAGGCTTCCAGGGGGGGCCTGGAAGAGTGAGGCAGGGCGGGTGCCTGTGCCTGAGTCTGGGGCTGGGGGGCCAGTGAGGCTTTCCTGAGGCTGGGGGCAGGGCTGGAGACGCCCTGGGGAACAGCAGAGGCAAACTGGCGTGAGGGGCGGGGCTCAGGCTGGGGGCAAGAGGAGCTTGCCTGGCTTTCCAAGCCTCCGCAGAGGACCGAGATGAGACCCTCCGCCGGGTGAGGACATTGAGGGGCAAATGCTGGCCCGGGCCCCAGTGGGATGAAGGGAGAGACGCCAGCTACAGCAGAAAGAAGGCAGAGCCAGCGGGACTAGAAGGGGGGCTGTGCTCACGGAGCCAGGGGGTGGCGGGGACCTGCTCGGCTGGGAGGGGGAGGGGCGCGCTCCGAGGTCCTGCATGGCGGAGTCAGACGCCCACACCGCAGGCAGCACCACTGATGGGCTGCTGCATCACCCCACACCTCAACTCTTGTCCTGAGGTGTAGGGGTCCCCGAGGACCACCATGCAGCCCACAAATCCCTCTCCGCTGAGGGGGAGTTCAGTCAGGGAAGCATTCTAGCAGAAGAGTAACACGATGTCTTCCAGACAGCAAATGGGGCAAGGGAGGTTTGGGGGGCTCCTGCAGGCATCTGGGGAGATGGCAGGGGCTTGGTACAAGCAGGGTGTAGAGGTTTCCAGAGTGAGTAACACGTCTCCTGACCATGCGTGGGGTCTGCCCTCAGACACCTCAGTTAATCCTTTTTAAAAAAAGATTTATATATGCATATAAGAACTGGGGTGTAAGCCAGAGATACGGGGCACGGGGTGGGGAGAGGATTGTTCAGAGCCAGAGTGGGGAGCAGAGCAGGCAGTGACTGAAATACACTGCTGAGGGGAGCAGCGAGCGGGACAGGAGAGGTCTGCTGTGCCATGTGGGTCAGCACCCGAGGTTCTGTCTTCAAGACAAGACTGGATGGTTCTCAGGGGCAGCAGGTGGTTGGCCCAGCCCTGCACATGGCTCAGCAGCTCACCTCCTGGCTGGAGGCGGGAGAGGCAGGCAAGGCAGAGACTTACACACTCGTGACACCCTCACCTTAAAGTGACGAGGTCAGTGGCCTAATCAGCAGAGACCCCCAGCCCTGGTGCTCCAGAATTTTCCCAGCAGGGGATCCACAGAAGGAAAGGGGGAGAGGGAAGTGAGGAGGTGTGCTACCCTGGCACCACAAGCAAGAGTGGGGCAGAAATAACTGCACCCTAACACCGGGAGCCCCCACTGAAGGTCCTTTGGGACAAAATAACCACCTTAAGCACCTCAGTCCTGCTGCAGAGAAGCTTCAGACCAGGAGAGGGCCTGGAAGACAGGACACCCCGTGTTCCTGCTGGGGACTGCCCAGAGGGTGCCCTCTTTCCCCAATAGCTGTGTGGCCTTGGCCAAGTGTGTTAACCTCTCTGTGCCTTGGTTTTCTCATCACCCAAAGAACAGGTCTCCTAAAGAGCCTCAGAGCCTCAAAGACGGTCAAAGTGACAGCGAGGCTGGCTGTGTCTTAGTGTCATAATGTCACCCAAGGAGGGAGCAGGCTTCTCATGGGGGGGCTTGAGGTACCCAGCCCCGCTCCACACGACAACTTTGCGGTGGAAACCAGGGGGAAGGTGCGTCGTTTCCTACTTGGCCACGAGGTGGCGCCCTCCACCCCGCCACGACCGCAAGGGGCAACTCACCATCTCAGCGGCGTCCAGACCAGGGAGCAGCGGCTTCTCTTCGGGGAATCGTAACTCCTGCAGCCCGGCCATGGTCATGTCGTGGAGCAGGAGCCCTAGGGAGGGAGAGCGAAGAGTTGGGGCCTGGCCGGCGGGGGCGCCTGGGCCCTGTTCTGAACATATAGGGGTACAGGAGGGGCTGACTCTGTACCCATCTCTCCCTCCACCCCCCTCCGCGTGTCCCCAAGCACAGACCCTTAGGGACACTTCACCGCGGGCTGCGAGGCTCATGTGCAGGGCTTGCCTACTTGGCTCCCGGCTGTCTTTGTGTTATTTGCTCTTAAAAGTTAACATGTATTTCAAAAAACACAAGAGCAACACAGAGAGAGCCCTGGAACAGTTGCAAGTAAAGTTGCAATTTCATTGGGAGGCGGATCGGTGGGTGGGACCCAAGCAGAAGCCTCTGGCGGGAGGTGGGCAAAGGGGAACAGAGCAAAGCCTGCCTGAGGGGCAGGGACACTGGCCGTGGGGCAGGCTATAATTGCAGGGTGTCCCTGGGGGACCCCTAGGCCTGGAAGGGAGGGGCCTCTGGGTGCATGGTGTACACACCCCGGTATGCGGCCTCTGGAGGAGCCAGTGGTGTGGGAAGGAGACGGTGTGTGTGTGGGGGGGGGAGGGGGGGTGGGGAGCTGTTGCACCTGGCCTGGTACAACTCCCCCCCCCCCCCCCCCCCCGCCCCCCTGCCTTCCAGGAGGGCAGAGCCAGCACGCAGCCAGCGCAAAGCAGCCAGTGACACAGACCGGAAATTCATAAAAGAATTAAAATCGTAGGGGAAATAGGGAAGCTCACTGAAAGCCAAAGAAATTCAAATGGAAACAAGATCCTATTTTTCTTCGGCCACGGGAACTTGGCCAAGTCTGTCTGGCTGGCAAAGATGCACCTTAACTGGAGCTTTCCTTACACGCCTGTGGGTGTATAAATGGAGACAGCTCCCTTGGACCACAGTTTTGAAAAGTGAATTAATTTTTTTTGAAGGTTCATATTGTTGGTCTCAGCAATTTCCTCCCTGGGAAAATGTCCTAAGGAACCAGAGAGCACCAGGATGCTCTGCAGAGTGCTGTGTCTGGCTTTTTCTTTTAAGATGTATTTGTTTATGCACACAAGAGCTGGGGTCAGGCCAGAGGTGCCGCTCGGAGGGGAGAGGAGTCACCAGAGACAGAGTGGGGAGCAGAACAGGCAGATCCACGAAGTACACCGCTGAGGGGAGCAGCGGGCGGGTCAGGGGAGGTCTGCTGTGCCATGTGGGTCAGCTCCCTGGCTGGGCATTGAACTTGTGCTGAAGTGGCTGTGGACAGCTTCCTAGTGCAGCACTTTAACCTGTCACACCACCAGGGAGGACCCCAGAGTACCATTTCTAACAACAACGACAAATAACCAGAAGAAGCTAAAGACCAGAAGACACTAGACAGACTATAGATGAATTAATTGCTTGTAAGAGATTATTTAGTAACCTGGGAAAATAACTATGTCCCACTCCATAGAAAAGGCACCTATGAAATATACATTCTTAGCCAAGTCCTGAGAAATCCAAATAGTCCCACCTAGAAGCAGGGAAGGATACTATCACAGAAATAACATGCGTGACCCCTGTGTGAAGGCTGAAAGCTGGGTCCACAATCTGAACTCAGGGGAAAAAAAAAACACATTCAAAGAAAAATTATAGGGTCGAAGCTCAATGACAATCCCTTACTCTTAGAAAGCATTTCAGGGCTCCTTGCGTGCTTTCTTGTGCTATATGATTTTGCCCTGATGCTAAGTGAGGACCAGAGGCAGGAGCAGATAGGAGCAGACCTGGAAGTGGGGAGCGTACCCTACAAGCCACAAGTCTCACCTGGAAGGATGGATTCCTTCCTCTCTCCTACCTGGGTTACCCCGCTTCCCTCCCTGCACCCCATTTCCTATTCCATTTGTGGCTCTACTTTCCACCTTGAAAAGTTAACTGTCCACTAGTTAGTTGGCTTGATGATCATACTCCCCTACACACACACATACACCCCCCGCCCCTGCCCATCCCCACTCCTTGGGGAAAGACCCAGGGGTCAGCTGCCTGACCCAAGGGCCTGGAGCCCTCTCCTGTGGCTTGGCTACTGTGCAGCAGGCCAGGGCTCCCCCCTTCCCCCCATCAGAAGCAGGGAGCATCAGTTCTTCAGTGTCACAAAGATGGTGCCTCACAAGTGCCAGGAGGTCCCTGCCGGAGTTCTGGCGCTCAGATGTGTGGAAGCTGGGCTGGGGATTGGCTGGCCAGCGGGCCTCACAGGCTAATCCAGCACACTTGAAGCCTCTGGCTTGTGTAGCCCCTGCCCGCAAGCACCCAGGTACCTCACCTCCCTGCCACTCGGAGCTCTCTGTTCCCAGTGGTTTCCGGGGAAACCAGCTACCACAATGCAGATGGGCTGTATTTTTAGAAAGGAGTCCTCTCCCCTCTCCACACCCTTTCCTTTCCATCCTTTCTGATGTGTGTACAGTCATCCATCCAGCGGGTGGGGACTTGAAAGAAAGGCCCCCACCTTAGAGAGCCCTTCCCCCCATTAGGACATTTTTAGCCACCTGCCTCCCTGAACACCCAAATCCATGAAAGGCCTTGGTAGTGCTGGGGTGCCCCCGCCCTCCCCCAGGCCCTTACGAAACCACCCTGGAGACCAACTTCCCCAAGGGCGATGCTATTAAAAGGCTGAGAGTGGGCAGTGCAGGGACAGATGGCCGGTGACGGAGCGGGCGGTGGTGGGGGGGAGCTGGAGAGGAACCTTTTTCATCCAGAGGAGTTGGGATGTTTCGGGGAACATCCCTGGGGTCCCCAGAAAAGTGGGGCTCTAGACAGAGGCCAGAGCGGGCATTCCTACAGGATGGTGGCACACAAGTTTCTTTCTAAGAAAACTACCATTTTTTAAAAAAAATAAGCAGCTAGGAGATAAGTCATACAAAAAATGAGATTCCGGGCCCTCCCTGGTGGTGCAGCGGGTCAAAGCACAGCACTAAGAAGCTAAAGTCACTCCAGCTTGAGTTCGACGCCCCCCCAAGGAGGTGACCCACGTGGTGCAGCGGACCTCTCCATCTCTAGTGAATCCTCTTACACCTTTGGCCTAAACCCCAGTTCTTGCATGCACAAATAAATAAACCTTAAAAAAATTCATATAAGGTCTGTCGGTTATGTACAGTATTGCACGGATCAGCTCCCTGGCTGGGGGATGGCACTCAGGCCCTAGAGGTGACAGTGCTGAGACTTAACCCCTAGGCCACCAGGGAGGCCCAGGTCAGGCATTTTTGGAAGACAGAAGCAGAAGTCCCATGCTTTTCTGCCTGCGCCCCGTAGGGGCTGCCTGATGTCAACCAGACTTGTCACCAAGGATGATGACCTTGATCACTGGTGAAATCTTGTCAGGTTTCTCCCAGGCGGGGTTATTGTTTTCTCCCTTAGTCATTCATAAGTATTTTGTAGGAAGAGACTGTGAGATCATGACAACATCCTGCTTCTCATCATACTTTCCCCGCTAATTTTAGCAGCCATCAGTGATTCTTCCCTACAGTAACTCCCGTGGTATTTGCTTAATGCTAATTTTCTATTTCCATCATGCCTGCTACATTTATTAATTGCCGTTCTCCTGGAAAACATATCCCTTTGCCTCCATTTAGTTATTTAGTCACTTATCTACTTTAGTATGGCCTCAGACTATTTCTTTTCCTCTGTGGGGTACAACCCATTCCAATCACGGCTTATTTCATTGTTTCAGTGGTGCCAGCTTTGGCCACTGGGGTTCCCTCAATGTAGCTCCTGAATTTGTCAGCCCCATGGTGGGTCACACTCAGCTTGCATTTTCTCTGTCTCAACCTTGGAATCCAGCAAGTCTGCAAGGGATTTGTCCCATTCGTTAGAGAAGGTGCTTTAAAGCCAAGATTGAGCTTTGCTCCTAGGGCATCACTTATTCGAGTTGTCTCAGCAGGCAGCACTAGAAAGTGTAAGTTCTCTCAGTTTCTCCAATATCCCTCCATATACACACACCTATGTACACATACAGATATAAAATCTGGAATTTATACTGATTCATTTAATCCCAATTCAATATTATAGTTCATTCTAATTTCCCCCTTGATTTGTAGTTTCTTTTCCCGTGATAAAAAGCCTGATTTTCTTGTATTATGTGGGAGAAGAGGAGGAGAGGGAGGGGAAAGGGAGGGAAAGAGAGGGGAGAGGGGGGAGGAGGAGAGAGAAGCCTGGCCCCCAGTTCATCCCTAGTATACACACACAATAACTTTGGAGTGCTACTTGCATGAGTTCTTATCATTCAGAATTGTTTCATGCTTGCTATACTTTTTTCTGTGATATATGGCCATCTTTTAGACTTAGGCCCAAATTTTTAAAAGCATCTGCCACTCTTGTGAACTCTTGAAAGGAAAATATGAGCAAAATAAATTGGCTAAACGGTTTCACTTCCCTGAGCCACGTGTCCAAATCACTGTCTAGAAGCTGTTGCTGCCTAAGCTGGGCATCTGGGCCTGGCTGCTCTCACACACCCATGGGCACCTCCCAGGAGCTCCTCCACTGTGGGCAGGATCTCCCTCTGAGCAGCTGAACTCCACCCTGTGAGCTTTGATGTGCACGGGACACAGAGGCTGGCAGTCCCGGTGCTGACAGACCCATCTCTGTGTTGATGCCCATCAACAGTCCTTTGATAAATGGTTCTGTTGAGACACAGCACCAAGGCGTGAACTGTTTCCCATACACAATATGGCTCCAGGTATCAAGCAGAGAAATACTGAACCCCCAGCCCCCAGACCAGGGGCAGGTCAGGTAGAACTGGATTCCATAGCACACTTCATTGGGTGGCTAGGTAGGAGCCAGAGGAAGTCTTGCTTTTCAGACGGTTGATTGTCCCCCAGTAGCTGTTTCCCCTTTCTCCTTTAATGTTAAATTCTCGTATTTTAGATCGGCAGGTGGACTATGGGAGTAACATGGTCACAGAGTTCTACCGGTGAGACGGTGAGACGTAAATGGAAGCATGTGACTCTGGGGTGATGTTCTTCTCAGGAGGAGCCTTGCATTCTTTAATCCTTTCTCTTT